GTGAGGGGCTACACAGCCTCAGGCCCTCAGTGCGCGGGGGAGCTGCTCGCCCACCCGCCTCGTCTCGGAGTGCCCCGCGGGGCTGGGGTGGCGTGGGTGGGTCAGCAGCCCTGTACTGGGCGGAGTGTGCACAGCGCGAGAAGCTGTGCCTCACTCCCTGCGCCTCGGAGTTACTGCCCTTGCTGTCGGCGCGGTTCCTCCAGGGGGTTCAATCTGCGTGCGGCTGCGCTCCGCTTGTGAGGAAACAGGTGTTTGCAATGCCCGTGTGCCCGCAGCTGCTCGTCCTTTTTCCCAAACCCGGCCTCTCGGCAGTTTGAAAAAGCGTTAGATGCAGGAGGTTTCTTAGCCGTTTTTGTGGGAAGTGCTGGCAGTATAGAGGGATTTGTTAATATTCCTGCTAAAGGTTATATAATGTGATATTTGTTCACTATCAGAGAGTCTACTTTGCAGATGTAGATCTTCAAGATAAGTCCGATAAATCCTACCTTAGCTCAGTTACTCACACAGCTTCTGGGTCTGTGTTGGTGACTTATGGCTTTATGACTCTGTACCATTCTAAAACAAATATTTAAAGTTGAAATTAATTTTAGTAGTTCAGGAAGCTTCTTTCTGGGTGCATCTAGACAACACAGTTTTGTCCCTTTGTGCCCTCAGCACTCATGTAGCATTCAGTGTTAAGAACAGTAATATACTGGGTGGATTTAACCTTACTTGGACAATTGTCTGTTTAATATTTCCCTTCCAAAACTTTTCAATTTTGACTGAAAAAAACCTCAAATCTGAAGTCTTAATTATATTTTATTTATAGCTGCATTTTGAAGTCACGTGTTTTAATACATTTCCACAGGGGGATTTCTTGCTTCCTAAAATTCCATCTGGAGCTCAAATGTTTTAAATTTGGTATCTTGTGTTTGTCAGAATTCTTACTCTAGGTGAATTCTTGCATAATTATATTTCACATTGTTTAAGAGAGTTTAAATTATTTGCTGCTTTTATAGCATGTCTATGAGACATAATGTTGGGGACCTGCCTGTAGAAGCCTAAGGTTGTCACATCAGAATTTTTAGCCACTTGAGCTGAAGCTGAGTAGGGGCAATCTGCGTCACAGCTTTTCAGTTACCTACTTAGTTACGTTTTTGTTGTGGTAGTGTCATGGTTTGTACAAAATGGTGCCATAGGAAGCTCTGATTATATTGCAAGGCTAAATTTTATATCGGGTAGTGTGATTTAATGAAGCAGAGTATCTCATTTTGGTCAATGCAATGGTAACATATTTTAAAGTACAAGCTAAGAATTGCAGGTCAGGAAAGGTTGTCTCTTAGGAGCGTCATTATTTCGGGTAACCTAGTTTTTATTTAGTGTTGCAGAAAATGTAGCATAGATACTTCGTTTCATTAAAGGAAATACTGTAAACTTGATAAACTAAATTACTTTATCCGCTAGGTGTCCCTAGTTCTAAGCAGAATGAAGCCTGAAAGGCTACTACATGGTGAAGCTTCAAAGTAGTCAATATTTGTGGTGATTACAAGCTTCTTAATGTTTCTTTTCCTTAATGTTTTCAAATTACATTCCAGGTTTTGTTTAATGCTTACCCCAAATGAGGTTTTGCTTTTTCTTTGATCCCATTTTACATATGTATTGCTCTCTTACCTTCCAAACAACAAAGTATTTTTTTCTCCCAACTTCACAAGACTTATTTCTATCTCTGTATTTTGTAGTTTTGCAAAAAAATTACAAAGATGGCTTAAATGCATTGAAGAAGCATGAAACTAGGTTTCAGGTCTTCAGAGATACATAATAACATATAATTCTGTTCTTGTTGTTCCTCTCTCTTTCTTCCTTTTTTTTGCGAGTAGGGTTCTAAGTTTGGAATTAAATAAAGATAGAGATGTGGAAAGAATACATGGAAGTGGTATCAACACCCTTGATATCGAGCCTGTTGAGGGAAGATAGTAAGTATATTCTTTGGTTGCTAAAAGCATACATAATGAATTCTTAAAACACGTAAAAACATAAGTTTTGTTACTATGGATTTTCTGTCTTGTTGAACCCTCTATTATAATGAGCATATTGAGATTATGAGTGTTTTAACTTTTGTGCTTTATTGACACTTTCAGCATGTTATCTGGTGGATCGGATGGTGTTATTGTACTTTATGACCTTGAAAACTTGAGCAGGAAACCAAGTTACACATGTAAAGCACTTTTTTCTGTTGGAAGGTAAGTACTCCAAAAGTCTTTTAAAAGTACATGGTATAGCTCTTGTGTGGGTAGAATGAAAAGGATAAAAAGACTGCAGAAAATACTGCCAGAAATCTTTGAAGGCTAGTAGCAGAAACTGTTTCTTCCTAATTTGTCTGCTCAGACATATGCATATATATACAGAGTATATGTACAATGACTCTGGTATCGTTTGAGTAAATCTATAGCAGTTTCAAAAGTTAAAATGAAGGATATCAGTTGTACTCATATGCAAACTCAAATTAGACAGTCTTATGTTGCTGTAGATACCACAAAAGGAAGTCAGACCTAGTACTCTAACCTCATATTTTAACACTAGAAAAAGAAGACAGGGTTAAAAAAACTCCAAACCTTCCTCTAAGTCATGATTTCTCACCTGTGAGTTTTCTTATTGTTTCATGTTGCAATTTGGTGCCTCCGTGCCAGTAACTGAAAAAGAAGTTTGGGTACTGATGCGGAAATATTCCCTGTATTCACCAAATATATCTAATACATATATTTGAATAAATATATTTTTAAGAAGGATTATATGCAATTATTTGCGTAATCCTTTTCATCTGTTTGAAAAAAATCTTATACCTATTGTTTTATTTCCCCATGGGAAATAAAACATTTCTCTCATTCCAGATTTATTAGGAGCTCTTTTTAGTTCAGCAGGTGTTCAGCAGGTATAGAAGTGATTTATACAAAACTTCTTACGAACATGTTCAAATGAAGACAGATGTGTTACTGAAAAAATGGAATGTATTTTTCTAAAGAACAGGGTACTACTGTGCTGTGTGTAATCTTTAAAAAGAGTCAAAGCTGTTATTGATTTGTCAGGCTGTCCCTGCAGGCAATATAAATTTTTCCATTATAGACATTAAGTCTTCTAGCAAAAGCTGTTTTTTTTTTTATTTGGATAATAGGCTTATCTAATAGGTTAGAACTTCTCCTAAGACTCACAGTAAGAGATATTCTACTTCATAAAAGATTTTTAGCTGCATTTTCCCCTTATTTTTTCCCAGTCTACAAATTATTTGAGGTCTAAAGGTCAGAGTCTTCATGAGTCAGGTATACAAGAACAGAACAGTAAATAAAAGGCCTTGACAATATCTTGGGTCATAAGAAAGAAAAAGGCAAGTAGGACATAGCTAATATGAGAAGTGTTGGTTGCTGGGCACAAAATTTTTTTAAATTGTAGTTAAGAACATACAATGACCATACATCCCCAAATCTCAAAACTGAAATGAATTCTGAAACAGATGCAGCAAACTGAAGAAATTCATCCTAAGAAGACACAATGTAAAAGCTGTCAACTCTGTGCTAAAATCAATCCATCATTAACTTCAGTTGTGTCAGTAGAAATATTCCATCTTCAAAGATTCTGTTTAGGAGGATGGTTAGTTGGTTGTCTGTTTCTTGAGTTGCTGTTAATTTGCATAGATGCATCTTTTATTTCTTTCCACTCAAGGCATAAATTTTGTTAGTAGAATTGGATTTTGTGTGGCACTGCTCTAAATGACAGCTTTATGATAATTATTGCTTAAATAAACTTAGCAGGTTTCTTGCATCAGTTATTTATTTGTAGTATTCATGAAGTTTCCTAGTATGCTTTAAATACTTACTGTAACTAATTAGCTACAGTTTATATACGTCTTCAGATATTTGGAATATTATTCAGAGTTCCTGACTTAATACATGAATTTATACTTCAGAAACACTTTCCCTCTGAGTGTCTGTGTCCTATCTTTGAAGGATATAGTGCTGACATGTTGTGAAGTTTGCCTGTCTTCCAGGTTTGCAGGGCAGAGCACAGGTCTGGTCTCAAAGTTGCTTGAAGAATAAGCTCCTGCTAGAGGCCCTTTGAAGCTGTTTCTGAATAGATCCTGAACTGGGCTTGCTGCTGATCCAGTAGTATAGAACAACAAAAGAGAGAATTCCTGGTGGTAGGCTGTGATTTACCCCGTGTTTCTCATCTAGAATCTAGGGCCACTATTGCAAATACAAAAATAAAATTTTCCCTGTTTTTCTGGGAGTCAGCACAGAGAGCTTTACCTGGTTTCATGCTGTCCTTTGGCAAAAACTGGCGTTTGTGAGTAACCAAACAGTACCAGTTTCTAGATAATATGCAGATAATGCTTATCTTTAAGGTAGTCTCTACTACTCAAAACATATCTAGGAAGAATGAATGACAGTGACCTATTATCCATAGAATTAATTCTGTATTTGTGTATGGTAGAAAAGACTGGGATATTTTGAGTAATGGATGAAAATACTTCATACGGAATGAACAGGGAATAATATACATCCTGACATGTGAAACTAGGCTGAAAGGCATGTAGTCACTACTAAGCCAGATCAAAGGTGATTCCTGCAGAGCTGCTCAGGAGTTTGTTAGTTCATTCCTCAGCCCTGTGGATTATAGGAGAATTGATTGTTCATTCCTCAGCCCTGGGGATTATGGGAGAATTGATTGTTCTTGTGCAGAGTTGATTACAGTCCAGTCAGTGTTATGCACTTACAGTTAGTGTACCTGTATAGTAAGTTCCATGGGTTTAGATTTTTCTGCAGTGCATAGAAACGCCTCTCCAGGAGTGAGATCACTCTGAGTCAAGCTTGATCCTGGCTCTGCAGGTACTAAAGATTTTTAGCTTATCATGGTTTAACTCTAGCTAGCAACCAGGTTCCACACAGGTGCTTGTCCACTTCCTTACCAGTGGGATCAGGGAGAGAATTGGAAAGGTAAAAGCTTGAGGTAGTTTAATAAGGAAAGCAAAAGCTGCAAACACAAGCAGACAAGGAATTAATTCACTGCTTCAGCCATCTCCAGGAAAGCAGGGCCTCATCATGCATAATGGTTACTTGGATAGACAACTGCCATAATTCCAAACATGTCTCTTTCTTTTTCCTTCTTGCCCCAGCTCTGTATACTGAGCTTGATGTTACATGGTCTGGAATTTGGTCAGCTGGGGTCACTTGTCCTGGCTATGTCTCCTCCCAACCTCCCAGGCACTCCCAGTCCCCTCACCAGCATGTCAGTATGAAAAGCAGAAAAGGCCTTGTCTCTGTGTAAGCCTTGCTCAGCAATAACAAAAGCATCTCTGTTACCAGCTCTGTTCAGCACAAATCTGAAACTAGTAACCCATGTAGGCACTGGGAAGAAAATTGATTCTACTCTGTCCAAAACCAGCACACCTCCCTGAAGGATATATGCATGAAGTTTGTAGACTTTTAGCACTGTGCCAGAGGAACAGGCCATTCTAGGATATGCCTCAGAGGGGGAGGAGCAATGCAGAAGTCATTAAAAAACTAAGCTCAAAAGTTACTCAATATCTCTTAGTATTGTCAGTGCTGCCTTCAGGCTAACTCTTCTTAAGGATAACTTTTTTGCTTTTTAGCAACCTAAGTGAGCAGAAAGGTTTATAAGCTCAGATAAAATCAGATCTGCATGTGAAAAGGGATATTTCATCACTCAGCCCCTAGTGTTAGATTAGTCTGTCAGTGCCGAGGGAAAGCTGAGACCTTTTTATCCAACCAGCCCCTCAGCACCCTGTTACAGGGATCCTTAATTGAATAGTCCTGGTGGATCAGAGGGTGGTTTAACTGACCAGTTCAGGGACACACACCAACAGCATAAGGGAAACACCCTCAGTGGGGTTTCCCACTTTATTCAATTATATTACCCACTGCCAGTACGTGCCAGTGTCCATGAAGGACTCTTAACTGTGGAATAGCATTCTTTATTATTAATAAGAGAAAATTGTGACACATTAAGGTTCAAGGCCTGCCAGTGATTGTTTCTGACTGGAAAAACATGTTCAGACCAATACACAGACAAGATTTAATCCCTAATAGTAAAGTGCACATAGAGTAAGGTTCTTGCTAATATGCATTCCTCCGGGGAAGAAGACAGATCACCGTGTTGGCTGATCCCAGGAGTTACAGTGGAATCATCCCTAACTTCACCATCCTTGACTGACTTTAATACTATTCCGTTGTGTTTAGTTGGAGTTTGAGGTACTATACCTTTGTTACTAAATAGTGCAAAATTCTCTCCCTTTCCTCTTAAAGATACAGTCAATAAAATGAAGAGCCCATGCTCAGTGAGGAGTGATCTTAACCTTGAGGTTAGCTCAGTTGGTTAGAGCATGGTGCTAATAATGGCCGGGTTGTGGGTTTGATTCCCATATGGGCCATTCACTTAAGAGTTGGACTTGATGATCCTTGTGTCTGCCTTCCAACTGAGAATTTTCTGTGCCTTGAAACTTTGGGATGGAGGTCTGTGTTGGTATTACAAATAGATGCTAATGAACCAAGTTCATCCAGGAAGAGCAATTTCAACGCAGTTTCTGGTTCAACAGAAAGACATCTTCTATCTCCTTTGGTGGACAGGTGCTATGTGGTTTATCAGTTAGAAAGTACCCCTCCCTGCATGGATTTCAACAGTGCCTGGCCATGGTGTCTTGGCTGCAGCCCTCATTTCATCCCCCTTAACAGGTGCTTGAGGTTGCAGGCTGTTTGTGTGGGGAGTCATTGTGGAATAGCTTTCAGTCATGCTCACCACATTCCATCCAGAAGAGACAACTGCACTTCACCCTATAATTCCCATATCATTATATACTTCTGTTCGGATGTGAATATAACTTCTCCATTTCCTCTAATTTTACCCTTAGCCATCTTTCCACATAATCTACCCGTGACTAGTCACTCATGCTTCACAATATCCAAACAAAATTTGAGAATGTTTCACATTTTCATACAGTGCGGATCATCTAATTTATTTCTAGTGTGTGGTTATCTGGTATTAGTGAGGGTAGCCAATAGGCTAATTGTTTCATAATTATCCAAACCTGAACATACAATATAATTATTAGAACAAAAAGCAAGAGAGTTACCATCAACAAAATGACAACAGGGTGGAGCACTCCGTTGAGAATTGTGGTAACTTCTAGTGACCATTCAAAAAAGGGTGTCCCACCACTTTCTTCACCTACTCCATCATGTGATTTATTTCTTCTGCATCATGATGGACAATAAACAAAGTCTGTTTTCCATTTTTGGGGGGATTATTTTGAGCAAGCAGCTCAGGTCTTTGTGCTGTAACCATTTATTTACCTGCATGAGATTCATACCAATGGGAGTAGGCTGCAGTCTTGAATCGGAGTATAATTAGGTTCTAATATTTTAATAGGATACAATAGGAGCTGAATAGCTAAAATTACATTCCATTATGTTGGCAAAGTATTAGCATAAATATGAGAGTGATTACTTGTTTCTACAGTAATGTTATCCATAAATATAAAATCATAAGAGGGTCTCATAAGAGCATATCCTTTACCAATATGCACAGTTTCCAGGTTTTCCTTAGAATGAATCTCAAAATGAGAAATATTTTGCTCAGTGTCATGACAAATGCCTTGGGTTTTGATGGTGTTACGTTCACAAATGCATCCTTGTTGCCCTTATGCAATGCACATGTCGGCATCAATAGTCTCCCATTTATTTCCATCTTTATACACATATAAGCTCCGGAGGATGCGTATAGTTCTGTTGTGGTTTAATCCTAATGCAATGACTGGGTATATATCGTGTAGTAAAGCATATGATACATATGTGTATTGTTAACACAAAAGCTGTGGCTGTGCTGCTGATGGGATCATAGGTAAAATTTACTAAGTAAATTTATTAAGTAAATTCCAGCAGAACTGGAATTTCTTTGAAATTCAATTTTATTATCCCAAATTACCTTTTGAATTTCAATGAGTAATGGTTTATTTGCCTTCCCTTGTGATTGTAGCTGTCATCAGTGCATCCACAGTTGAGCTTGGATAGAAGAGCTAAAGAAACATTCATTTGGACTATACTAAGTGCATCTGTGATCAATTGATGGTCTTTTTCATTAATTCCCTCCCACTGAGGTAATATATCTATTTGAAACCATTGATTAGTTCCCAATGCCAAAAGGGAAGATCATAAAAGGTGTTTCAGTTTATTTAAGTTACTTTATTGTGACTAGTTTTGTTCCTTAAGTCAGAATCTATGTCATTTAGAACTCCCCATCCTGTTCCCAGGATGCCAGTCACATCCTTCTTGGTTTACCTGGAGGGTTTGTTTATGTAGCCATGCTGTTCATCCTGCCTAAGAGGTTTTCAGGAGCAGTGAGTGAGCTGATTGGATAGTGGAAACATTATTCTGCATCAACAGTTCAACTTACTTGAGAAACTATGTTGCATTAAAAAACATTTACTGTTGACCTGTATTCTCGACTAAGGAGGAACCAGTGTTACAGGTGTGAGGAGACAGTTCAATAGAAGGCTGAGTTCTTGAAAATGGCACTTCAGCAATTTTCAGTTGAAAGCCCTCATTCAGTAGAGAGTTTGGGTCTGTTCAAAGACAAATCACAAGTGTTGGATTGGATATGTTAAAGGTATGCCAACACTTACGTTTAGAAGAACATTATATATGTTCTTTTCCCTTCAGCATAATTCACTGCACTCTGATGGAGCTTGCAACAGTGTGTAGGACTGCTGTCAGGCATTTAGTTACTTTGAATTCAGCATCCTATTGAGATGATGTCTCCTTTAATTCCCTTCAGAGGTGAAAGGTGTTGATTTTCATTCTCCTTTGTGATGATCCACTCTTGCCTTTAAAAGGTAGTGTTATGCAGTGCTGCTTAGACAAATTAGGCTTAAATTTGCTGTAGACAAATTTAGGCCAGGGATAGGTAAACCCAGAAGTACAATACTCTTCAATTGATGGCAGTACTGAAAATCTACATCTCTGCATAATGATACCCCTGCAATACTTAGTGGTTGTGGAGGCCAGAACATGTGATAGAGCAATGCAAAGATAAGAGCTGAAGCAAAAAAAAAAATCTTGTGAGCCCTTTTCTAGCTGAAGTTGTAGCCAGTTGAACAGTTTTGTTATAAGTACTGCATTTAGCTGGGATGGAGTTAATTTTCTTCATGGTAGTTTGTAAAGCCATTTGTTTTGGATTTGTAACCAGTCTTGATAATACACTGATGTTTTAGTGAGTGCTGAACAGTGCTTGGTAGAGTCAAGGCATTCACCATTCCTCACTGCCCCTTCAGGGGGTAGACAGTAGGCTGTGAGGAGATACCTGGAACACCTGATCATACTGATATTCCATACTGTAAAATGTCATGTGCAGCAGTCTAAGCCTATGGTGAAGGGTTACATTTGCATCAGTTCACTGGCTGGGGGTTTGGTTGGTTTGTTTGTTTTTTCCTGGAGGTGTAGGGTTTGTTTTGATTGATTCCCTTTCACTTACTAAAATGTGTTTATCTCAATCCACAACTTTTCACACCTTCACTATTTCAATGCTCTCCTTCATCCCCTTGCAGAGGGTAGAGAGAGAGCAAACAGCTGGTTTTGGGCCCCTGAGACTGGATCCATGTGAATCCAACTCAGATATGAGTCATCTGCCAGGTATTTGAATGACATATATTATTCAGAACCTGGTCGGTACAGTTGTGGGTTCAGTTCCAGCTGTATCCTGAAGCTGTCAAGATTGACTCTGCTGTCTGTTCTTTCTGCCACAGTTAATTATTAATTATATTGCAGTTTCTAAATATTCACAGTTCAGTTGAAAGTTTCCTATTGCTCTTCCTCTTTCATTTCTGAATGCAAATATAAGTGTCTCTCAGTAACTTAGCCTACTGCTCTCTGGTGACTGTTAGACAGGGATCGCCAGTAACTATGTAGCTGTAATCACTAACACTAATGAACTTTTGAACTGTATGTGTGATTGTATTTTTTAGTGGATCCATTTCTAAGACACATAAATGGTTTGTAGTGTTAGGCCATCACATTTAACATTAAGATCTGTAAACGTTGCAACTTAAACATTTCAAAAGACATTTTTTATGATTTATGAGTGTCTTGAGATATGCTACAGTTACCATATATTGAAAAGGTAATGACCCGGAGTTTCTTGAAATGAAGACTCTTCAAAATAATGAGTATTAGTTGAATCAAAATCAAGCCAACAAAAATATATTTCCTCTTGAAAACGTCAGGACAAATTAAGAAAAATGGTTATGTTTTCAACCTGTCATGAATACCAAGACAACTACAAGATGATTATCTAACTCTAACCAGTTGGAATATTTTCCTTGATTTTAGGAGTCATCCTGATGTACATAAATTCAGTGTGGAGACAGTCCAGTGGTATCCTCATGACACTGGCATGTTTACATCGAGCTCATTTGACAAAACCTTGAAAATATGGGATACAAATACTTTACAAGTAAGAGAGTTTCTACAGATTGCAACTTTCTTTGTGTACATGTTATTTATTGCATATCTGAAGTTCTTGCAGAGGTGAACAGGATTACACATCCTGAAGACAAAAACCAGCTACCTGTTAGAACTGTGGGTAGCAGCAGGATGATGTGGTCCTGACATTCCTGTCCACCTTGGTGTGTATCTGCCCATTTCTGAAGACTTGAATGTCTAAACTGTAGGAGAACTTGGAACACTTGGGACAGTTCTTTTCTGATTTTGCTGTGACCAGGAATACAGCTACTTGAATTTTTTCTTGGTGAACTTATCCAGCTGGGTCTAGTCTGCAGTTCATTCTTAGGGATTGTTGAATCAAATGGGAGTATGGCAGGGTGACTTATTTTTAGTAACCAGAGTCTAATAACAAGCACTGTTGAAGGACTGGTGGTCTTGGCATGCATGATATGGGTCCAGAATTCTGCTATTTTAAACACTACAGACACTATTTTTAAAAATCAGTAGAGAATGAGAGAAACCATTAAAAATATGCTAACCAGTGTAACTGACATTAAAAAAGTAAGCAGTTTATTTAGGAATTTATATTGCTTTGACTCACATCTTGTGTTGAACTGTAAATTAATGAGGGTTTGTCCTGCTCCCTATGAACATTTACATTGATTCATACCATCATTCATATGTAAATGTTCATAGGGAAAAGGAATTTACATTGATACTATTTGACTGCTGCTTCACACATAGCAAAAGAATTTTTTTTCAAAAGAATTCTGTCATCCTAGGGATATAATTGGGAGCAAATTTTGTTGGTTTTTTGGGGTGTTGTTTATTTTTTTGTTGTTGTTGTCTTTGGGGGTTGGTTTGTTGGTTTTTCTGGGCTTTTTTTTTTTTTTCTAAGATAGAAGACTATGTTTGCAGTTGCTAAATCTTCTAATAAACAGTTAAGTTTCCAGATAGTTAGGTAGTTCTGCTAGCATCTCTTGAAAGACACAGTGTACACGTAAAGGTTATTGAGTGACCTGCTCTGCCACTAAATGGTGTTTATGAAAGAACAGACAACTCAATTTTAAGAGATTTTTTTATATATATATTTTTATATGTATTTTAGAATGAGACAAGAAAAGTAGTTTACCTGGAATAAATTATACTTATTAAATTAAATATTAAAGTTTATTAAAGTAAGTATGTTCCATTATTTTTAAACACTCGTGAGCCAGGTAATAGTTTTATATGGAAGTGGTTTATTTTTTTAGGAATTTAGGAAAATAGTATGTGGTATTCATGAATGAAAAGGAGCTAAACTTAGCCTTAAATGCCTTCTTCCTGTTGACTCTATTTCCATTTTATAACCCTTTTGTTTACTTACTAGCTTTAATAATTTTTGATAACTGTAATCATTTCCATTCATGCTTCTCATTTGTCAGTTTTTCTTGGTCTTTCTTTTGGGTCATCTTTGAGCTCTGGTGTTGTCCTGCTGTTGGAAGCAGGCTTACCATCTGATGTTTGTGTAATCTGGCTTCTAACCAGGGGAGTTATCATTACTATGTACATAGTAATATTTATATTAGTCTTACCTGTAGCTGTTACTTGAAAAATAATGGTAAGAATTTACGTTCTGCTAATACACTTGCATTTAAATTAATTTAATGTTTTTATTATCAGCCTGCAGATATATTTCACTTTGAGGGAACAGTCTATAGTCATCATATGTCTCCAGTTGCTACAAAGCATTGTTTAATAGCAGGTGTGTATCTGTTTTTAAAAAAGAGACATGTCGATATAGATAGATAAGGTTTATAATAATAAGCAAGTAATATTTCAGTTGGGCTTTTTCCCCCTACTCCTTCTTTTACATAAATCAAGTCTTCATAAGATCTAAGTTTACAATAAAATACTATGCATTACTAACCAGTACTGTCTAATACTCTCCATTAGTTGGATGATGTCAATAAGACTATCATATTTGTTCTTCTGAAATAATGCATCAGTCAGTTCTCCTTACTGATAAAATTCTTTGCTATAATTAGGTTCTTTCATTATGTGAGGTACCATTTAAAGATTATTAGATCCAAATATAGTAAATTTTGTAAATAGATCTGTGTATTGCTTACATGTACACAATTTAACTATTTAGCAAAAAAATATTTGAGGAGGTATTTTTAAGTTTCCCAAATATGGTCCTGTTTACCTCCAGTTTCTAAATTTTGTTAAGTGGTGATTTTGTTTGAACTAAAAATGTAAAGCTATAAATAGAAGCATTGCTCTGACTGAATGAGCAGTTTTGCAGCTATCATTTTTCTTGTCATTGCTAAGAATTTGTTGTTGTTGTTCTCTCAAATACTGGTGTTTTTTTAGCTGTCTTTGTTTCTCTTGTTGCAGTTGGTACCAAAAGCCCCAAAGTACAGCTCTGTGACTTGAAGTCTGGATCCAGTTCTCACATTCTGCAGGGTACTTTTTAGTCTGAAACATAAATGTTAAACAATAACTACTTTGAGTAAAAACAAGTCCTGTAAAGAAACACTGTATACAATGTATTCTTTGTCAGTAACATGACTAATTTATTTGTAGCTAGTAGTGAAAGTTACACAGTGGCAAAAGGTTCTTCTGGGTATTTTTCTAGAGCTAATGAATTGTAGAATACAAGCACTAATTAATGAGCTGTTACTATAGATGTTTGGGCATTTTTATGGTCTAATCAATACTGATTACTGTTTATTACGTGGTTAAATGTAGTCATTGGTTTGGAGGGTTATGGAGTGGTCAACAAGTGGTGTTTTACTTGGTCTTAAAAAAAACAAAACCAAGTAAAACAACAGAAACTCCTCACCATCCCCCCAGAAAGGAAACCCCTACAAAAACAAAAATTTCACTGTTTTTAACAAAATATCCCATGGAGGTGTTTGAGTGGATTTGTTTAGAAATTTCTGACTTCTGTAGTGTTGCACTATATTAGGAATGGTGAAGCAGTACAACATCACTGTCTTAGCTGCATTGTTCAAGAGAGTCATGTCGTACTGCTTCACCATTCCTAGTATAGTGCGACACTGTAGAACAAGTTTTCTATAAAAGGATGTTATCAAATCCTTTATATTTTCCTAATTCAGCTAACTGTAAAGTTTTATTGTTCCATAATCCTTTACTTTTGGCTTTCACTGAGAATTTGCCTTTGGTGGCCCTTTTCTCATGTATACTTTTTGGAGTGTCAGTATGTATACACATGCTCAAGAGAAGGCAATGATGAGGCAAATCTTCATGCTTCAAACTGTAGAGAAACATTAAGTCAGAGTAATGTGCAAATGCAGCTTCATTTCTTTACTGGCCAGCTAAGTCTAAAAGGAGCCCAGGTTATTTTTCGTAATACAGAGCTTAAACCATTAAACTTCTGTGAACTGAATTGGCTGCAACAGGCATCTCATCTTCTTGGTTGTTCCTGGTTCTCTTGGTTTCTAAAACCAAAAGATCCAGAGACGGCAGTGACAAAAACAGTTTTCTAAATATCCTGCTTGGTTTCTTCAGCACTTCTTAACTTTGACAGAAGAGTTAATGCTTTCCAGGCACAAGCTCTGTTGTGTCTTTGTACATAGCCTGTAATACCCTGTTACCTGATGTGCAGTATTGGAGGAATAAGTGGGAGGAGAATATGTTAATTATTTAGCATATGCTAGCAATTCTTTGGAGAACTGAAGCAATCAGTAGTGTCTTGACCATGTGTATGAATATTTTCACATAGGTTAACTCTAGCACCTGAAGTGGAATTATATGCATGGCTGTAGTTTTATTAATGGATCCAAATAAATCTGTCTGCTCTGAGCCTTCTAAGTGCATCCGGTAGAACCTGTATCTTGCAGTTTTTTCCCATTATCCTGGTCATTACAGTGCTTTGATTAATTCAGGTAATGGGAAAGCACCTACTGGAAGATGCAGCAGGAAAAAAGTGGTTCACACCACCTCTAAACTGTGTTAGCAGAAGTGTATTGTATGATTTAGTTTATTTTTCAACAATAGGTTTCTGTTATGACATTTCCATCTAGGACATCTTATTCTTCCTATTATCTGTATTTATTTAACATAGCTTTCCAAGTTTTATGTGTGTGTGTATAGAAAAACCCAATGACAGACAAACAAACCCCCTCCCCATATATGTATAGACATTTTTTATATGTGTGTGTTATATGTGTATATATGTATGTACATACTATATCTGTATACACACACACATACATATATATAAAAATAAATAAGAGGACCTTTCAGATCATTGAGTCCAGCTGTTAACCACACACTGCCAAATCCACCACTGAATTATGTGTCTAAGTGCCACATCTATACATCTTTTGCTTGTATATCCCCACGGGTATATGACACAACCACTGCCCTGGGCAGCCTGTTCCTGTGAGAATTTTGTTTGGAAAGTATGGGAATTATGCCTAATAGCCAATCAAAACCTCCATGGCGCAACTTGAGGCCACTTCCTTTCCTGTTGTATGTTACTTGGGAGACTGACCCCCACCTGGCTTCAGCTTTTTTCAGGTGGTTTTAGAGAGCAGCGACATCCCCTCAAATCTCCTTTTCTCCAGACTAAACAGATCCCCAGCTCCCTCAACCACTCCTCACAGGACTTGTGCTCAACACCCTTCACTAGCTTCACTGATACCTTAATAGTTAAAGGAAAAAATACTGCATATTCAGGGCAAAATTCTTAGTGGATAAAATGAGTAAAGTTTTAGTTGTAAGTATGTAAGGTAGATATAGTTTATATTGAATATTATTAAAGAATTTGAAGAAAAATAAATGGAAAGTTCCTTCTGTATGAGAATACCAGTGCTGCACAAAAAGCTGTGACTGAGCTGTAATGTGTTTTGCATAGGTAAAGCCATCTTTATTATCAAAAATTATACACTGGTAATGCTGTGTGTATTATTTTCTGCTCACAGCAATCCCACTGAAGGAAGAAGAAAGAGAAAAAAACTTCTGCCCCAAAATAGTATAGTTTCACAAAATTTAAATTTATGTTACAATTCAGTTATTAGTCTGGCTTGGTGAATCCTATAAACTAAATACTTGTTTTTACTTTCAGGTACTTACGTAAAATGGTGTGTATAATAAGCTTTTTCATTTAATTCTTAGGTCACAGGCAAGAAGTATTGGCAGTGTCTTGGTCCCCACGTCATGAATATATTTTGGCAACAGGAAGGTAGGGGATGTTACTGAACTATTAAATGCACTGGAATATTGGTCAGTAAAAATTTTATATATTCTTTATGCAGACTTATTTCAATTCAAATGCACTTCTGGAGTTAATTTTCTTTGTTTATCTGTTCACAGTTTTAAAGCTTTTCCCTAGAAAAATTAAACCTAAAGAGCTGTACAAATCATGCTTGTTTTATAGCAGCTTTGTACAGAGCTTTGAAACTCTAGTTGTAACTACTGATATAGGAAAATGGTAGAATATTAAGTTTATTACCTCCTACTGTTTATTAGTGTGTGCATTGCTAATCCATGTTGTAAAAAAGTAAAAAATGTCTAGCGCAAATTACCATTCTGGTAATCACATTTATTTATGTCAAAGAGAATAACTTGAGTAGCTTAGCTGATGTAACTTTCCAAGCTACAGTAATTCAGTATGAATTCAGTATGGATTGTATGTTGATATTCTTGGGCCTTTTTTGTTTTCTGTATGGACATTTTTAATGTAAAAAAATCCTCTTGGCTTTTCTATAACTTCTGTTTATGTTAGCTTTTGATTATATTGGCATTCCTCTTCTCACTTATTAGATACCATGGTTTTTTAGTTTTGCATAGAAGAACAGCTATTTCATAAGTTTAGTGTAATGGCTGTTTTATAAGTTTAGTGAAGATACCAGATTTGAAAACCTTTAGTTTTTGAAGTCAAGCTTCTGAAAGGCTCATCAAAGTTGGAAAATGTTTTAACAGTGTGTTGTTTAGGGGTTTGTTTGTTTGTGGGTTTTATTTGTTACAGCAGATGACAATGTTGTGTTTGTCTTGTTACAGAAGATGAAAAATTATGTGCTTGTAGACAACTTTTGTAGCAGTCATACAATAGATCGGTGATAACAAAAGCCCAAATTCTCAGACCACCATTACAGTCAATACTGGAATCTGTAGCTATAGTTTAATCAACGGAAGAATCAGCAAGTTTATTCCCAGGCTCTGTATGTGTGCAAGGGTGTTATGTTATAATCAAAGAGGGATGAAGATTCACTCTTAGGTTCTGATAGTGTACCAGCTAAAGTTATTAATACATGTAAATGAAAGTCGGAAGTTTGTCTTAAAATATTTTTAATGGAATTCTGTTGACTTGAGTGTGCCCACATGATGAGTGGTTCAGAATAGCTGCTGGATCAAGAGAAGTGCCAGGTGGGTTGACCAAAGACAGTTCCTGAATTGTGGTGCAATCAATTTCCCTAATTTATGCAAATCTGTTTTTCTTAGTGCTGATGGTAGAGTGAAATTATGGGATGTGAGGAGAGCTTCTGGATGTCTGAGTACACTTGATCAGCACAATGGGGAAAAGTCCAAAGCATCTTCTGAGGCAGGTAATACAAAGTATAACTGGTGGTAATTCATATGTAACTCGAATAATTCTTCTATTTCATTAATACTAAGTTTTGAATACTAAGAGCAGCAAGGACAATAGTGATGATCCAGTTGTTACTTAGTACATAACAGAGGCCATTCAGCTTTGTTCAGTTACTTTTGTTACAGAGTTAGGTTTTGTTGTTTGGGACTTTTTTTAGAGGGATTGCCTTGACAACAGTAGTGTATTTGTTCTTAATGGCTTTCTTCTAAAAAGGAAAATTCTGTTACCTTTTTTGTGAGTGGAAGAATTAATTTATGCTGTGAATTAGCCTTTTTATAAATATAATATTTATTGAATTTCAATAAATTGAGAAGAAAATGTTCTATAAAAAGCTTGTATTTGGTCTAAAAAAGAGAAATATTGTTTGATGAAAAGAAAAATTTGATGTAACTCCAAAGATAACTAGTTCCATTTTATATATTCCTTTGAATACCATATTGACTTATTCAATCACAACATCTATCTTTTTGACTTTATTTTTGTCTGAAAGGTTCAAGATTGTTTTTTTATTATCTAATATCAATCATATATGCTAGGATATTTAATTTATTGAAACGTATATGAACTAAACAAATAGCAGGTAAAAATTGTTTTCTAATAAAACCTAAAAAAAGCAGTTCACACTTTTACATAAAAGGTATGTCTGAATTAGGTACTGCAGTATAATACAGAGAGACCTTATCCTGATGGCTTTAGAGCTGACCAAATGCTACAGTACGTTGTTAAGCGCATTTTCCAAATGACCACTGACAGGCTGCAGACATCAACAACTCGGTGATAGATTGAACAGAACTGGCCCTTGAACAGCACCCTGAGGAGCACTGCTGGTGGCTGTCAGCTGGCCAGATGTTTTTATAAACAAAAAACTAAATTATTTTTAACTGAATGTTACCATTTAAATAGCACTTGCAGTGCTCCACATGGAAGTAAAAATGTATATAAAGTAGTAATTTTTCTCTAGAAACCTGAGGCAGCTCTTTTTGTTGGCAGCAAACACTGCTCACAATGGGAGAGTTAATGGTTTATGCTATACAAATGATGGACTTCACCTGCTAACCCTTGGTACAGATGATCGGATGCGTCTCTGGAACAGCTCCACTGGAGAAAACACCTTAGTAAGTTTTCAAGGAACTTCAGTAGCATTTTTACTTTCACTTAATTTTAAGAGATTTATAATTTCTGCAGTTGTCAATAGAATTTGAAATTCATTTTTATAAAGGATATAGCTGTTCAATTTCATCACTAGAAGATTTGGTGAAAATTTTTTTCTTCCATATTTCTTTTCTTCTACTTTTTACAAAAAAAAAGAATATGAAGAAGCCTGGATTTACTTAAAGATTGAATATAGCAACTCTTAAGTTCATGAATTTGAGAGTGTAGCTATAAACATTTCTTATATTAATAAAAACTTTAATAAGTGTTGACTGTTGGTAGAAAATTTTGGAGTGTTTAAACTATTAGTTGCCAAGGTACTATGCATAGAGCAGTTGGCCATATCTGAGAGTTTCACTGGCTGCCTGGCTTTCTTGCATCTCTGTTTCTTTGGAATATCTCGTGTGGAGTTGCATGGCAGTGTTAAAAATATCTATTCATCCACCCTTCCAAATTTGTGTAGTAACACAGCAGCAGGATTGAGGGGTGGGAACTGTGTTAAACTTCTACTGCTATTCCAGTCCTTTCAATGGCTTGTGGATTTTTTTTTTTATTTGTGACAAAGCTTCTTATTTGCATTTTCTGTTCAGTAAAGAAAATAGTTTTCTTTGTTTATTTTGAAAGAAGAACATGCTAGTTAAGTCAGTGTCTGTGGAATTTTAGTCAGCTGTAATTATGGTCTGTCATTGCTATCAGGAAAGAAATTTTGCTATACCTCAGAAGTCTTTTAATTCTGCTGCATAGTTTCAGAACAGAGCAAAATTAATTCCTTACAGATATTTAAATAAAAAGACTACTCTCCATGATAGCCATATTTGCCAGCTTGTTCTCAGCACCTCATACACAAACTTTGTCTTCAAATCACCACCACTGAAGTAGATAATACAGTTCATTCTGTATTATTGTACTCTCCTATTACCAGCTAGATTGCTGTTTTGTTTCTTGTTTCTGTGCCTGTTAGTTCATTGACTTGTTTCATAGGCTGTTTTACAGTTTTCCAATCTAGTATGGAATAGCTTGACTTTGTTTTGCTTTTTCAAGTCCAGAGTTATATTGTCCAAAGTTGTGTATTTTCACACACTGCCCAGAGGTATTGCTTAAAATAATTTCATGCTAAGAAAATTGTGAAATTTATCAGGTAAATATTTCAACACAACACATTTTCTTCATGAAAAAAATAGTCAAAATTTTAATGATTTGTTTTAGTTAAATTTGTTTAGAGGAAAACTATACTGTTTTCCTGAATATATTTCTCTATCCCCTCATTAATACACTTTTGATGTTTGATAGGACTTCATTAGACTAATATAACTGACTAGAATATTTCCAAACATGTTTGGAACCTTTACTTTAACACTTTTGTGAGATTTTTATCTGTGTAAAAATTGTCAAGAACATGAAACTCAATGAAACTGTAGCTTGAGACACCAGTTTAGGTACTTTTAAACTATTTTAATTTGAAGGCTTCCCTTACACCTCACCAGTAATGTCTTAGAAATTTTTCCTATCAAAGCTACCCTGGGAGAAAACAGTCCAGTATTATTTTGTTGAACTTGTAAATATTTTCCTTGTCTCATACCTTTTGTTATTAATATTGTTGCTGTTACTGTTTGGTTTTTTATTGCTATTTCCAGTACTTAATTGTTCTTCTCAACCTATGATCTCTGCCTTTTGTGCTTTGAATCAGAGGCAGGAGAGCAAGTGGTTTTAGCTGGATTACTGAATTGGAAAATACCATTCCTAAACCACATGTGGTAATTCCTGAACAACGTCTAATTTCAGTAAGGATTTACGTGCTTGATGCAGATTTGGCATGCAACAACCTGTGCAAAGCCTATTCTTAGTGTGGAATTGCTAATTTTTAGGGATTTCTTTCTTTCCTTTTCTTTAATATCTATAAAATCGATGTTAAGAATAGTAAATTTTACTTAGCATAAAAATAATTCTCTTGATAGGCGAATGTAGTTTGAAATATTGAGATATATATATTAACCCAAAATTAATTTTACTGAGTATTAAACATGAAGTAAAATTGACCTTTTCATATACTTTCCAGTGGCTTTAATAGCTGACTATGCAATCCATGTGATCTTTCATTTTGCAGGTGAACTATGGGAAAGTCTGTAATGAAAGTAGGAAAGGACTCAAATTTGCCATCTCTTGTGGCTGTAATCCAGAGTTTGCCTTTGTTCCGTATGGAAGTACCATTGCTGTTTATACAGTTTTCACAGGAGAACTGATAACTATGCTTAGAGGGCATTATAGTACTGTCAACTGCTGTGTATTTCAACCTCATTTTCAGGTAAGTAAAATACAAACAGTATTCCAGAGAAACAGGAATATTTGTGCAGATTGACATACTATTTGCACTATAAAAGCATTCACTTTCCAGGGGTATGCTTAATCAAAGGTAAGAGGGAGTACTGTGGTTTACATGACATTCAGGAAAGGTTAAGTCAAGTTTTTGGCATGACATTTTCTGGATTAAGTTCCTTCCACTGCATGTTTTGTCTCTCATGTGTAACTTCTCAATATACCTTTAGTAATTTGGCTTGTGTAGTCATTAGTAAAGCATATGTGTGAAGGCTTTTTTCTGCAAAACTGAAGAGGAGTTGTCTTTCTGAGAGATATCTGAGACTAATCACATTAAGAAAGAATGTGAAGTGTAGTAGTACTGCTGTGAGTACTGAGAAGGCTCTCAAGTCCTTTGCTACGGTGATCTTGCTCAAATGCCTGTAGTTACACTGGATAAAATGTTGACAACATCACCAGATTCTTAAATTAATCAGAGAACATTTCAACTGAGAAATACCATAGCATTACAGGGACTCATGGTACTGACAGATTTTTTTTCTTATTTCTTTTGCTATCTCCCGCTGGTGTATTTTTCTCTTGTAATAAAAGACTTAAAGATAACAAAGGTTAATTTGTTGTGAGATAGTATAGAACACATTGTGCATATGGCATGTATTGTGCCAAGAGCAGAATGAATGATAGTATGTGTTTTCAGACCATTATATAGTTGCCCTCATGTGTTAAGGATTGTACTTCATGTTCCAGTTCTCCTTCCTTGCCTGTTATTTCTGAGTGTCAGGTAGAAATATTAAAGGCAGAAGGGGCATGTAGATATCTTTTCATGACCTCTCATACAGTGCATCATAGAAGTGACTCTTGTAGCTTCTGCTTTGAGTCCAGTAGCTTTGACTGAATCACTGAGACAGACATCACTGAAAATTATGGACGTATTATGGACACGCAGTAGACCCCAAGCTAATAAGCTTTGTGTGGTAGTTTGGCATTTAAGAAAAAAGTGGGAAATATCCATGGAAGTGACTCCCTTGAGAGAGGCTGCTGGGAGTTTCTTCTCTGCTGGAGATCAGGCCAATAGCTAGCCAGTTTTAAGAATTGACAGCATTTTGGACCACTGAAAAGTAAGATCACCTTTGTGAATATCACCTTTTAAACCCAAACCCAGGAACTGCTTGTCTCTTCGTTTCCAGCCTTGAAAGGTATCAGAGCTCTGGTGTGGTTGGGTCTATGCAGCCTGTGGGGGTGTGGGCCGGACTCCAGCAGCTCCCAGGTCAGGGATGGAGACAGAGGGGCTTCCCTAGGCTGGGCTGGGCCACGGCTGCTGATACTTGCCAACACCCCCCTCCCATGGCCCGCAAAGATGGCTCCAGGCCAAAAAGCAGCAGAAAACCTTCTGTCCACTGCCTTCCAGTGGCTGCTGAGCTGAAATTCCCACACCATGACTACCTGCCACGGCTTGGGCTGGATTTTATCCCTTTCACTACCCAGCTGAAACCTACAGACTTAATCCCCTCTCCATAGAGAGGGAAGTGAGAGTGATCAACGTGTAAAGAGACAACATAAAACATCAAGATCAGTAGGAGAGGAGTCGAGCCTCAGATGGAAGGAGAATGAACTTTAATAAGCTGAAATTTTCCTTTAGTAGAGCCATGGAGATGGACAGTAATGTTCTGAAAAACTCATTAAATTTTATGGAAGAGTACTGGGGGGAATGAACTGTAAATCTGAGCAAAGGTATCCTTGATGAAGCTATGCAGATGGTGGAGTAGCTGTGATCCCATGAGATGCTTGAACGAGAGAGAGTGAGAGAAGTAAGAGTTGATGAAGACCCTTTGCCCCAAGGGAGAGAAGAAGAAAACCTCTGTTCCCAGAGATGATCACAGAAACAGGTGAAGAGAATCTTTGCCTTTGAATAACTCATCCTTAAAATAATACCCCTTGAGTTCATGGACCATGAACACACCTCTGAGTGGTGTGAAAATGGGAGGGAAACATGATGGCAGTTTTTTCTGGGTGGCTGCCAGGTATGGAGATGAAAAGCCACAAGAAAACTGTTTTCTTGTGGAGAAGTCTGCATGGAGGGACAAGAAAAAATTCCTCTCCCATAGAGACTGATGAAAAGACTGTTTTATAGCTGCTACTGCTTTAACATCCCAGATTTTGTCTCTATGTTGTCAGTTGCAAAAGGAAAAAGGGCGGGGGGGGAAGAAAAGGGGGTGTTTTTTTAGGTTTTATTCTGGTTTCTTATTCTTGTAGTTCTGTTAATAAACTTCCTTTATTCCTTTTAAGTTTTAAGCCTGTTTTGCCCTTCTCCTAATCCTTATCTCACAGCAAGAGATGAGTAAGTTCCTTGTGATTCTAGCTAGGGCTAAAACCACCACACCTTGCTAGACCTGGAAGGCAGTTCTGGCATGAGTAGTTAGTGAATTATATCAACTGCAATATTCATGTTGTGGCTAAAGCACATCTTTTCCAAAATGATCTTGAAAAGCTTTTTGTCTTTTCAAGGATAGTTTCCCAACAAAACTTCTTGTGTGTTTATATAAAGTTATCTTTGGTGTCCTTTTTGATAAACTGAAGTGGTGAAGCTAATTAGATCTTTCTGTAAAACATGCTTTACTTGTTTTACATGTGGTGTCTTTACCTTGGTGTTTAAGATCCATGGTAAAGGATCACTTGTGTGTGCATATGCACACAAGAACTACATCAGTCCCTGTATCCAAAAGTTTGTGATGTCAACAACTTCATATGCTTATCTGATGTGAATCCTGTTCCTTTTCAGAAGCACCCTTTTCCAGAGTTCAGTTCTATACATGAGAAGTATGACTTGATTTTCTGTTTTTGTAAAGGCTTTGCTTTCAGTTGTATTAAATAGTTTGAGAAATAATACTGCTATATGTCATGCTTTGACACTGGCCAAACACCAGGCACCCACGGAAATAATTTGCTTATCCTCTCCTGCTACAGTTGGGCTCTTGCTACAGAGGAGAGGGAAAAAAAGATTTAATGGAAGGTTCATGAGTTGAGATAAGGATTGGGAGAAAAACATTCTAAGGGAAAAACAGGTTCAAATTTAAAGGTATAAAGTAAATCTATTATTAAAGTCAGAGGAGGATAATGGTAAGTAAAATAAGACTTGAAAACATCTTTTTTCCCCACAGCCCCTCTCTCCTTCCCACTGACAGAGCAGGGAGACAGGGCATGGGGCTCTTGGTCAGTTCATCACCCAAGATCTGTTCACTCAGGGAGAGGAGTCTTTCTTCTGCCATGTCGTGGGGTCCCTTCCATGGGCAAACAGTCTTCCCAAAGACTGGTATGGTGTGGGTTACTCATCCACAGGGTGCAGTCCTCTAAGGACAGGCTGCTCTACTTCAGAAGCAAGGGTCCTCTCTCCAGAATCCACCCACTCCAGCATGAGCACTTTTCCCACAGGCTGCAAGTGGATCCCTGCATCCCCTATGGACTTGGTGCATTACAGGGGGACAGGCTGTTTCACCATGCTCCTCACCATGGACAGCAGAGGAGTCTTGGCTCAGACACTTGCAGCACCTTCTCCCTGTCTTTTTCCACTGACCTTGGTGCTGCCGTGTTGCTTTCCCTCATATGTCATCACTTTCTCCTCTTCTCTGATGAGAGGACTGTTGCTCATAGGTACCACTGCCAACAAGTTCCACTAACTCAAAGATTCCTGCAGGATGTTGCAGTGCCAGGAAGTTGATCTTGTCTGGGTTCCACACTGGGGAGTCGTTTGCCGTGTTTTCACTGCTGGCCATGTGGCCCCACTGCCATCGCACAGGCAGTGGTGGCTGCTGTGGTGCTGTTTAACACCTCTCCTCATGTGGGATGCCAGGAAGGGGAAGCTACTGCTGCCCCTGCCCTCTTTGCCCACAGCATGGCTGGCTAGGGATGGCCAGGCAGGCAAGGATGAGTTGTGGGCCACAGCAAGATGGTGACATCCATGGTACCTCACGACTCTGGGAAAAAGCCTGTGTGTGTGGTATTTTGATTTTTTCTTAAATGTGTCATCACAGATAGGTTACCAACCTTTATAAATGGGCTAGCAGCATGTCCATGTTCAGAGCCATCCGAGATTGGCTCTGTTGGGCATGGTTAAAGCTTCTAGCAGCTTCTCACAGAAGCTATCCCTGTGGCCCTCCCCTGCTACTGAAAAGCCAGGCCTTCCGAAATCAACACACCTAAATCAGAATGTCAACACCACGGGTAGTGGTACTGTTATTTTCACTGGATTCATACATGTACTTCCAAGTATCTTATCCTATCTTGAGACCATTAAATGCATTCATCAGACTTCATGTAATTCTAATAGCAATTATGATTTTGTCAGTAAAATTCCTCTCCTGAGAATGTAATGTTGTTCGTAAAATTTATAGTCACCTCTTCTATTTTGCAAAGTTATTACTGCAAAGTTATTCACAGCTGTACATTTGTAATTTCATTACAAGTTGTAAGTAAAATCAATTTTGCTTAACAAAACCTGCTCTATTACAAACTTTGTTGAGTGGTATTTATATACCTATCTTTTAGCTCTACAGTAACTGAATCATTTAATAATCTTTTCCATTGCCATGTTTAGGATTAGAAAAATACAGTTCATTCTTGTCTATATTATTCTGCTTTTTTTTTTTTCTTTCTGAATGGCATATTAGCTCACTTTCAGTTTTGGAATTTTTAAATACCAAATATCAAATCATAATTAACTTAAGCAAGCCTGAAGCTTTTCTTGATGGTTCTTCTAAGGCTCTCTGATGTAAGCTATGTATACAGTGGTGAAATGTGTAGCAGATGGCTTTGTAACTTTTTTGGTACTTGTTAGCACATAACTGGGCTTTTCTCATGAACTGTGTTCATGAGAAACAAGGTCTACATATTTTTTGTAGTTCGGGCCATTTCTATCTAGTATTCTCTGTCACTGTTAAGAGTCTACTTCATATTAACAGCCTTCTAAACTTTTTCTGCTGTCTTTAACCCTGGTTTGTGTCCTACCCATCCTCTAATTTGGTCCTTAGATTTTTCTCACTATCTTTTCAGAATTCAGAATTTCTTATTGATATTGATGTTCTCATGTTCTTTCTGTTCCTTAACTATATTTTAATTGCTATCTTTGTTTCACCTCGTAACTAGAATAGGCTCTAAGAAGAATCTTAAACTTTGCACCAATTATGTATTTGAGGTGTCAAGTGTCTTCTGTTTGCTTGGAACCATATAATCAAATGTGATCACTGATAACCAAGCAGCTAGTTATTTGAAATTCAATTATACTAGTCTCTATCTGTTCTTATCTAAATTAATTAGCATGTTTGTGTGGAATACCTTTTATGTTTGAGCTCTCTCCAGAGAATGGTGTGAGCTCTAGTTAATGTGTGTATGTATGCCTTTTCTGATCCTAGGAACACAGCCATAAAATCCACTATGTTGTTGTTCGACTACACTGTTCTTACGTAAATATCTCTGTAAAGTTAATAAGATGTTAGACCTCTTGAGTAATAAGAACTGCAGAATCTAAAGTGCCCTTTAATAAGCATTAATTTAATAGGAGGTCAGTAATTTCAAGGGTGGTGTGGAAGAGAAAATCTTCATTGTGCAATATCTTAGATGATGTTTACAGCTGGATCTAACACACCAGTATGCCATGCTACCTGCTTAGAATGATTTAAGTAAACAAACAAGACCTACGTTTCCCTTTCAGAAAAAGAAATCGTGCAAATCATCATGCATGAATAACATGTCATAAAATAGGTAGGTAGTAGGTATGGAACAGGAAGCAATTTTGATTTAAATTATAGCTGCTGGTACTGTTCAAGAAATGCTAGTGATATCTGCAAAGGTATTTGGCAAATCCAGTAGCAGGCTATTACATAAAGCTAACTGAAAGTTATATCAGGTTTTATTTGCAGTCTTTCCATATATTGTACTATAAATATGCATAGAGCATGTTTGTAGTGCAATATATGTGTCTGTCTTGTATTGTACCATAATTCTATGTAGAGGCCACTAACTCTTCTTTTGACTGACTTACGGTGTGAGTCACCAGTTTAGGTAGTAATAATTAATTGTAAGTATTGCTTAATCCAGTGGGTATTAACTGAAGATCTTGCCATACCAGGATCAGAAAGTGAGACAAGTGGTAAGAAGGATTAAATGGAAGTATGCTGATGTCACTGTGACATTTCTCATAATGCTGGAAGGAGATACTTCGGCATGTAAAGATCTTTTAAAGTTCTTAGTGATATTCTATATTCTATCAAAGACAGGAGGCCCAAGTAGAGTACTGCTGACAGAATAAAGTGGAATTTGACTTATACTCTGGTGTAATATATCTTTTAAGCAAGGTAGGATGGTTATCCCTCTTAAAATTGTAAACTCTAATCTTGAATGTTTTATACGCATGAACAACTTCATTTCCAGTTTTTGAAAAGTAGGATAGCTTGTTTGAATAAGATTACCCACATAAATGTTTATAGGAACTGAGCATTGTGTTTCTGCACCAAATGTCAACATAATTCTTGTAGTTTAAACTATATATAAATTATATAGGAAACTTCCTGCAAAGACAGACCTATGTTAATGTATTGACCTTACATGGAATCAACGTACTCATAGTGTGCACATATGCAGAGAGTTGCTAGTTAAAGTGTAAAAGCCAGCATACTGGAAGCAAGGCTTTCATAGTCAGCCTGAATACCTCAAAAAATAGCTTTATATGTGTCACTCAGGCAGTTTAAATATATGACAATACTCAAGTGTTGTCAGACGTCACATATAATAGGCAGGAATGTAATTCAGTATTGAAGATATATGAGAATATCTTCATACCTGTTCATTTAAATAGCACTTCAGAAAATGCATGTGTTATAGGTACAAAATTTACTGCAAAGATGGTGTTAATATTTCTCACCAGCAAAATTTCCTCATCTTAAAGTGACAGAGAAGTCTGTATTTCCTGTAGTACAGAATTAAGAAAATTAAGATATATTTGACTTACAGCTATGTGGAGTAAAGACTGTTACCATGAGTTGTGGGGTTCCTTTTGCAATGGGATCTTAGTCCATAGTCATTATCATATTGAAGAGAGTTATGGATATTAAAAGTAATAAATTGGTCTTTCTGCTCTGTGCCTTCCCAACAGGGTACAAGCCTCATACTGTACTCTATTTGTTAGTTTCCTTCCCTAGGCATACTGAAACTACATTTACTTAATAGTTCTTTGTTCCATACATACACTTGTTTCTGATGTGTATTACTAGATTGTTGATTCTTCTGAGTTCATTCCTGTTTTTTAATTATAATAAAATACTTGCCTTTTTTTGTTTTGTGGGGTTTTTGGTTTGTTTTTTTTTTTTCTTTATTTCTCCATATACAATCTCTTAAGGTTCCTAACTGTTAAAATAGGTGTCTTTTCAGGGGACAAGAGAGAGGGAAGAAGAAAAATGTATTTAAGCCATAAAATTCATTTCAATGTGGGTTTTGCTATTTTGATGAGCCATCTGGGAAAAAATATTAAAACCTATTTTTTTTTGTTTTGGCATATTATTTAAAATACAAATTATCCAGATTATAATATAAATTAGAAATTTGTTATTTGCCTTTATTTTTAAGTAATATTCTCTATCTCTTTTCCTGCCCAGTATGGTATCTATGTCACTATTCAATAAATTTGTGTGAAAGTAAGTTTTGCTTGTTTTTTTACAGGAACTTTATAGTGGTAGCAAAGACTGCAATATCCTTGCTTGGATACCTGCTCCACGAGAGCCAGTTCCTGATGATATTTCTGAAAAGGTAGTGAATTTTTGAGTTTGAACTGTATTTTTTTTTTTATGGTTGTTATACTTGGGCAGGTTGTGTGGAAATTCAATATTAAGTGTGTGATTCATCATCAACTTTTTTAACAGTTCATCATTAAAAGGAGAATTGTCCATTATTTCTGTGCAATCTTTGGATTCTTGTAGGGGTTTGAGAAGACTTTTTCTCTTGTAGCCTAATCAAATTGTTTGCAGGCTGCTAGCTTCCTACTTGGTTAAGAATAGTTCATGTCATTTGATAATGGGTTTTTCAAATCCTGCTTCTTTAATTTCTAAACTACTTTCTTCAGTTTATCCTGTTTTGGAATTGTAGAGGTGCTAGATTGTATTTTCAGTTATTTAGGAATATACTGTATATTCAGCAGTAAGATTAGGGACACCACCCTTCATACACAAATATTTTTTATGTGAAAATATAATAAAGGAGTTTCTAAATAAGTTCATCTTTGTGTCCAAGGCAAGACATTGCAGGGGAAATGCAGGGAAGATCACATGTAAGACTGTTTTCCAGTAGAGTACTTTCTCTTGGGGAAGAAATATTTGAATGAGCAGCCTGAGTGGGAAAAAGCCTGTATTTTAAGGAACTGAAACTGTTAACAGAATGAGAGGCTGGTGAGCTGTACTACTGTTGAAAAACAAGGGTGCATTAATGTTTTGGCCCACAGCATATGAAAATTCCACTTTTTAGAATTCTGGCATTGTTCCAATTTAGATGGGAAAATTGTAAGCATAAAATTGTTGTAACATTTGCCTTTTTTAAGTTTTTGTATTTCAAAACTATCCTACACTTAAGCAGAGAAGAAAAACATAGTTCCAAAGGTTTGATACCCTAAACCCAAAATGTGTTGACCTGAAATTAACATTTTTGCTGTGAAAATTTTGATGTGAATAAGTTGAATTTTTATTAGTCAGAAAAACAAAAATAAACAGCAACAAGATTATTTACTTAGCTCTGTTTAGGACTGCTGCTTTAAATTTGACACAGTGGGGGTATGTAATATATACCATTCTTTTGAAAGCTATTAAGCTACAGCTGCTGTTTGCAAATGCTGTAGATGAGCCTTGCCTCTGTAAGCTGTTCTGCTGTTCACAGGCCACTAATTCCTGCTCCCTCTCAAGTGTTAGAATAGGCATTTGAGTGCTTGTATGACTAGAATCTGAACCCAGAATAGATGTAAACAAGAAAAAAAATTTACCCTAAATTACTGTGATTCAGTGCATTGCATAGCTACACAAAACCTTTAGTTGGACCTTAGTGGGGCAGAGGTGAGAAATATTTTTTGGATGTGGATAGACTGCTTCCTGAAACTGTAGTGTTAAGTTATGATGGGCTGAGAATATTATGACCTAAATAAAAATGGTGGCATGCAGTAAACACAATTATAACATTAGTTACATTTTGTACCAAACATTTTATAATACTTCCAGTCAGTCCTTCAGATATTTTCTGCTAAAACTGTAATTACAATACAGTACTATTTCTTTTCATAATTTTTCGTGTCTCTAATCAGCAAAATGTCTAAAAAAGTAGTTAAAAATAATCCAGTAGTCATGAGAGATAGTTTGTCTACATGCAGTCATTTAAAAAGTGCATTTAGCTTTGCCTTTGATTATAACATTTTTAATTAAGCAAAACACTGAGAATTTTTATTTTCTCTAGTCTCTGCCTCAACAACATTTAAATCCAGCATATGAAGACGCATGGAGCAGCAGTGATGATGAAGGCTAAATTTAAATTATGAGCTGATATAAATTGACATTCGGGCACTGCATTCACAGACTTTATCTACAGAATTGGACTTCGTTGGATTTATCACAACAGGATTTTAGGTACAGCTCTGTTAGAGCAAGGTCTTTCAAAAATAAGTTTCCACTGTTCTCTGTGTTTCTTTGTCACTGTAAAGTTAAATCCAAAGGATTACTTTTTTCATACTTTCTGACTTTTGTACTTACACGTTGGTATACTTCATTCAGCTGATAAAGAAAAAATAAAAGCCCTTGGGACCAGTCAAAATGACATTGTTTCTGTAATCATTAGTACATGAGGAGATATTCATTTCCAAGACACATGATAAAGACAGTTTTCCATGAAAGAGGGCTGGCTCAAAAATACTTCCAGCTTTCTTTCATCAATGTGTTGGTGAAGCAGATTGTATCCATTTTCAAGTGCTTATATACAGTGGGAGTCAACAGATTTTTGTGCCTGTTCTTTTTGCATTTTCAGCTTTGCATGTTTTTCCACCAATGCAATATTCGCTTCAGAAAAAGGTATAGCTGGGATCCTCTGGGATCTAAGTATTTATATGGTGACTCTATCATCTAAAATCTGAATCTGTCCCAGAAAGCTACAAATAGAAACTACTTCAGAGTTTTTGTTGCTTCTGTTAGCAGGTTTTTAAGATCAATCTTCTATGTATGAATCACACATCCTTAGCAAACATGAAGGATTCCCGGACAGAAACAGGGCTGAGGTACAGTTACAAAGCAGAGAGTAGATCACATTCCAAGTTAAAACTATTGAATGTAGTCCTTCTAAACTGTTTTTATCTAAAACATTTTATGGTCCTAATGCCTGTTCTGTTTTGAAAGGGGGGAGGAGTTTTGTGGGGCTATTGTCTTATCTCAGTGACTAGTTTGTGCTTCAGACATTATGTAGTCTCTGTCACTAAAGAATATTTTCAGATTTCTTAAAGCATCACCAGCAAAGATATCAGTAAAAACAGGTCCAGCGTAAAAATGACAGTGTGACAAGTTTCATTGTAAAGGTTCACTCTTAAGGGCACACTGAAGAAAAGCAAACAAAAATCCAGAGTCAATCAATCCAATCCAAAATAAACCAAAAACTATACCAAGTAACTTACAACTGAAGTTAAATGATTCAGCAAAGGACTCATATAGGATTTACTATATCTCAACAGTGTCTTACTTACAGACCTAACTTACAAATCTAGAGTACTTAGAGAATCTAGGAGAGCAGCATTTCTTGTGCACTTGGTACAGAATATGCACACTTGGTGCTCAGACACAAAAAGCCTGTACAAGGTGAAAAATTCCCCTCAAAGGTAGTGAAAGCCCACTTCAGATGCCTTTGTGAAGAGTGGAGCCTCAAGGAGTGGGGGGTATCACTGCTCTGGGATCCTCCAAGTACAGCAATCTTGTGACCTCCCTGGCTCCGAGACGCCCCACTCAGAGGGGCTTTTCAGGTCACAGCCACTGCTCCAGCAGCACTCAGAGGGTCTCACTTTGGATCACTGTTTGTAGGGCTGCGAGAGAGAGGGCTTTGATCACAACTGTGTTCCATCCTGGCCACACTTCGGGCTGGAAACTGTCTTCGAAAGTGTAAGGAGAAAACATAGTATCCCACTTGGGTTCTTATTCAGGAAACAAACGTGTCCAAGGCTGTTCATTAAATCACAGGAGCTCATTAGACATCACAGGTTCCTGGGAGCAGACAGTATTTTTACTGGTAAGTCAAGAGAGGCTCAGTCTGGGTGCTGTTCCTAAGGAGCATTTCTCAGATCATATCAGGAGAGGGATTTGATACACTATTGCTTAATAACCTTTTACACATCAGTTTTTGCCTAAGTTGCACCATGAATGAATGCAATGTGGGATTCAGCTCAAGAAAAGTTAGGCTGTGAATTATTTGTCCAAGTATCTTCTTACCCAGTTGCCTTTGGGTTTAATGCCTCAAACAGTAGAAAATAGAAATTGCTTGCCTTGGGGGCTTCTTGCACTTTGTGGCAGCTAATATCTTCTTCATAGGAGTATTTCCAAGTCCTCTTCTGATATCAGTTGTTGGTATTATTCTCCCTCTTGACTGTTTTCCTCTGCTGGAAGGAGAGTTGTTTTTGATGAGGGAAATAAGAAACACCTGTCTCTCATGTGGGCAAGAATCCAGACAAGTTCTACAACCCAGCACCTGCAAAGCCTTCCACATAATGGTAGTTACTGATGTGTGGTGTTTAGTTTGCAAGGTTTAAAAATCTCTTGGCCAGAGATACTAGCCAGCACTCAAACACCAATTTCTGTGAAAATTCTACTTTGAAGAATGGCATTTTTCGCTATTATTTACTTCACTACTTCTTTTTGTAGTTGTGTTAATTTTTTTATTTAAGCTTTCTCTAGGGAAAAAAAAATATACCTTCCACGTTCTTATGGCAGCTGTACTTAATTACTAAGTGTTGGTGTCTTTGAAATGGAAAGTTTTAAAGTGCAGTGAAGGTATACTGTATATTTCTCACTGCCAAGAACTAGGTACTAAGCCAACACTCAGTTGCGACTGTAATCTCTTTCTTGTGTGTAAGTTAAATGTTATAATTAAATCTGAGTTTTCTCCTTTGTTTATGCCTTTCTGCTTATGTACTTACGGCATATATTTTTATGGTATCAAAACTCTTTCAGAACCTGAAATGGAGCAAGTAGAGTGGTATACACTTAATCAATCTTCCCATCCTAACCCATCAGTCAGAAAAATCCACATGTAAAAGTGCAGTAAGATGTCAAAATGGGTGTTCGGTTTATATCGAAATAAAATTATTTACTTGACAGTCAACTAGCTCCTAGCTGGATTCTTGCTGTTAAGAACAGTAAAAGTTAAGAATTTAAGGAGAGAGCTTAGGCTGCAATGAACTGTATTTTTGTCTCACTAGTGGTACTGGGATTTAGTAGTCCTACTGTATCAGAGAACATAGAGAATCTAATCTTAGATTCTAGAGAATTTAATCTTTTCAGGCTGTTCTGGGAATTGAATATTGCTTAGAAGACTTTCTTTGTCTGCCAAGGCAGAGATTTTTATTTGAGCTTGATACAGTAAGTATTAAAAGATGGAGAAGAATGTGTTTGTTCTTACAAGAGATCAAAGAGTTTTCTTTCCCTTCTAGCCTTAGGAAACAATGCAGGTGGAGTCAGACTGAGCTAGTCCAACTGACGAAATACAAAAAGCTTAAGACAAGTTTCCTTCAGCTTAAGTGGAAGTTGAGTTCTGTGGATGCCGTAGGATAGAACTGATTACTTATGCCTAGTTTATGATGCTCAGAAAGTATCTGATATTAATACAGCCAAGAAAAACTTGGTTCTTTTTTTCTTTCTGTACACAGATCTGGAAGAAAGCATTAGCACATGAGAATTTCTATATAGCTATCTCCCAGGCAGTGGGATTAATACTACCGTATCCTTACCTCCCTTTACCCTTTTTTCTGTGCCTGGTGTACTAGCTCTTGCATAGAGACTGACAAATCTTAAAACTCAAGGATTTGTTTGCCAACTTTTTTTGCATTGTTTGGATTTGTAGTCAGGCTAGACTTCTCACAAGACATCTTGAGATTTTTTTAATCAAGAATTATTTCCTCAGTCAACTTGGGACCCAAAATTTAAGAACCTTCTGGTGGGTTTTAGCACTGGCTAAAATCACCAAGGCACTTACTTGTTTCTCACTGTGAGATATGGATGAGGAAAAGGGCAAAATGGGCTTAAAACTTATAAGGAATAAAGAAAGTTTATTAACAGGACTACAAGATTAAGAAACATCAGAATAAAACCTTCAGAAACCTTTCCTCCCCCTGCCCAACTTTTTCCTTTCCAAACTGACTACATAGAGGCAAAACCTGGGATGGTAAAGCAGAATCAACTATACAATATTCTTTCATCAGTTCTTGTGGGGAGAGGAATTTTCTCTTGTCATGCCATGGAGACTTCTCCACAAGAAACAGTTTTCTCACAGCTTTTAATTTCTATGAATAGCAGCCACCTGGGCAAAAGTTCTGCCATTGAGACATTTCTTCCCATTTTCATAGCCCTCCTAGAGGTGTGTCCATGGTCCATGAACTCAGGGGGTATTATTTTAAGGATGAGTTGTTCAAAGGCAAAGGCTCTCTTCATCTCTCTCTTTGATCATCTCTGGGAACAGAGGTTTTCTTCTTCTCTTCCTGGGGGCAAAGGGTCTTCATCCACTCTTACTTCTCTCTCTCCCTCTGTTCAAGCATCTCATGGGATCACAGCTACTCCAACATCTGCATGGCTTTATCAGTGGATGCCTCTGCTCAGATCTACAGCTTGAACACTTCATCCCCCGTTACTCTCTCATGAATTAAAGGAGTTATTTCAGTGTATTATTGTCCATCTCCATGGCCCTACCAAAATAATATTTCAGCCCCATTTGGCATCTCCTCATCCCTCTTCCATCTTCCTCTTCCATAAGGCTTGACTTTTTCTTTTACTGACCTTGGTGTTTTCATGTTGTCTTTCTTCGTCAATCACTCTTTTCTCTCCCTGGAGGGAGGATCAAAGCATGCAGGTCTCATGTGTGTATTGAAAGGGTTAAATCTTGCCCAGGTCTGTGGATGGCTATGTGATCTCTGCCAGGGCAGCGGCCAGAGCTTTTTTGCTGGATGATTTTTTCAGTGGCTGCACTGGGATCTCAGCAGCCAGGCCAGCACTCAGAGGCAGCACGCCATGAGCTGATGGCTTCCCCTCCCCACTGCCCAGCAATTTCTGGTAAAACTCAGCAGTGGCAGAATTCCAGCCAAGCCAGGGGCTGGCCTGATCCAGCAGTGCTGCTGGAAGGAGCTCAGCGGGATCCTTGGGAAGGGCTTGGTGGGCTCCCCTGGGAAGGGGCTTTGGCCACTCTGCCAGAACAGAACCCAGAGGGCATCCTGGGTGAAGCCAGCACTACAGAAGAGCCCAGCCCAGCCTGAGGCCAGACCCCACAGTCTCCATCCCTGCCCCGGGAACTGCTGGGGTCTGGCCCAGCCCCTCCTGGAAGGCCACACAGGCCACAGGGGAGCATGGCCGGCTTCACCCGAGCTCTATTCCCTTCTGAGGCCAGAAATAAAATAAGAAAAAGTTCCCAAGCCTGTGGTTTTTAAAAGGCGATATTCAGAGAAGTGAACAGCTAGTTCTCAGAATTGGCCAGTCATTGGCCTGTCTCAGACACAGAGGAAGTTCACAGCAGCTTCTCCCAGAGAAATCACTTCTGTGAGTGTTTCTTGCTTCTTTCCCCAAATATCAATCAATGTCAAACCACCAGAAACCCCATCATAGTAAACATGAAAAAAATCTCATATTTGCCAACATCAATAGGATTGGTTGTTATGTTTCTCTTCCCTTATTTTAAATTCTTGTATTACAGTTCTTATCCTACCTTGAATGTATACATAGACATATATCTACACACACAAGATATAAAAGTAATTGAAATACCACTGCTTTGGCACCACTGGAGGATAGTTCTTCATTTTATTCCTACCTCTTTTTTACATGGAGGCAAGGGTCTGGTTCATGTAGTTGAGAATTGTAAACTTGTTAGTGCACCTGGCCTAGCACCTGCCATAGTGAATGGGTAAGCTTACTGCTAGCTTAGTACACATAAAGTTTGCAATACCTAATTACATCATGGGCATCTCAGTTAACAACAACATCTGTGCAAATAGTTGGGTTTTTTTAGCATAGTTAAAGTAGTCCTTAAACAAAGAGTTTGAGTATTGGCTGCATACTTAGCCACCAAGATGTGTGCTGAGGTTTTGGCACCTGAGAGATGTTCTTGAAAGCAGTATATTAGTTTCAGTGGTCAGCAGTTAGTGGTTATAATACCCAACTAAACAAAAGCATAGAAATCATATCAATAAAGTCCTTTTGTGTGGCTAGGCTGAATTATGAAATAGACATGCCTTCTTCCATCCTCCTCCATTTTTGTATTCCTTTAGTCTATTTTATAAAAATAATGGGAATGGAGGATAAAAAGGGATGACTGAGTGGCCAGGAATTCAGGCAGGTGCATAACTACTCCCCACATCTTCATCCCTTCTAATCATGTTTGTGTGTGTAGTCAGCCTTACCCACCAGCCCACAGGCTCTGCCCAGATGACAACTAACCAATGTCATCCAACATGCTGGCAACCCTTAACCATGCCCAGTCCTGCCAAATTCCATTGAGCCCAAAAGAGTGGAAAAAAAAATATTTGGGGCTATTGAGGAAGCATTTTATTTAAATATGAAAGAATAATGTAATTGTATAGGCATACAACATTGTTCCTAATTTTCATTTTATCACCATTGGCCTTCAAATTAAGTTAGAAAAAAACAGTGTATTTTCAGTGACACATTTTAGTTTTGTGCTGAGGTGTCTTTCCAACAGTCACTGAGATCTGTACACTGGGAAGATTGCAAATCCACCCTTTTCCTACAGCTGTGAGGCAGAGATACATCTGCAGTCCTAAACAGATTTTGTAATAAATTTCCTCATGCCAAAATGGAGATTATAATCAGCAGTTTAAATCTGTCCAACCAGTTATTTTTACAGCCATATGTTTGTAATCTAAAGTAACATGTTTAAACAAGAACCAGGTAATGTATTCAGCAACAAAAATGATACGTATATGCCTGTGTTTAATACAAAAAGGATTAACGTGGGAGGCAGAGAAGAGGGGCTTATTAGAAGATTTTTTTGCTGTTGTCCTCACATTTGGAAAATACTGAGCATTGTCCCTTTCTTTTGTGTCTAATTGCAATGCATTTATTGAATAGACTACTTTTCATTAACTAAGGTCTTAGCTCCCAACAGAATTATTAAAACCTTCTAAGAAAATTTTGAATCATATTTTTAGAAAAGTTATCTCAAAATACGTATTCATTATAAATGAATAATTTTATTATGATTTTGCTGGAGATCACTGTCAGGAATTAAATTTGGTAGCCAACCAGTTCTATTTGTATATAAAATTTAATGCTGATTCTTAATCCTCTCTGTTAGTAGTGCAGGATGTCCTCTGCAAGAAGTGTAGCTATTAATGCCTGCCTGCAGTATTTTCATTTCATCCACACAAATGTATCTTGATCTGTATGATGGATCTTTAACATGTCCTTGCCATTTGAAGAAAGGGGGGAGCCTGGGAAGAAAACAGAGAGACAAAAGAAAAAAAGATAATCCTTTTGTCAGACTTAGGGCACGTCTGTTCTGCAGGCAGCAGCATGACACAAAGCTGTTAAGTTCAGCGGATATGAGCAGCCCACCACACACTGATCTGCCTGCCTGGGGGTGCTGCACTGGTTCACCTGGATGGATGGAGCTTTGTTGATATACGTCTTCTCTATTTTCTGTAGGTACACTGTGTCAAAGGACACAATGAACGTAGCTGTTTGGGGAGCCCATGTTTGCTGTGATAAAAGATACATCAGAGAGTAGGTGTATGTTAAGAATATCAAGTTCTCATGTTTTGTGGCAGTTAGAAGGGAGTGTCTTGTGTTGCTCAACAGTTAATTACTGTTGCTATCACCTCCCACACTGTTCTGTAACACCACAGGAAGTCAGCTGAGGATTATTCTCATGCTAGCAAAGGTGAAAAAAAATGTTTTGGGACTTTATAAAATAATAGATTTTCCCCATCACTAGTTCTTCCAGGTGGAGTATATGGCCCAGAGAATATATTTTTGTACCTGAATTGTGTGTTGTGGACTATGAGAGTTGAAGTTAAGCTAAGTATTTAAATAATCTGATGCTATTCAGTGGTTTTGAACTGTCACTACTGCAATAGGAGCCTTAGACAGAGCAGTTCTCCTATACTTCTGTGGGAAATGGTCACATTTGGCATGTGCTTGGAATGTATTGCATATTCTCAGGGTAGTGCACAAATTATTTCCCAAGAAAAAAGTAGTCTAGTCTAGAGTTGCATGGAACTTTGACATCTGAATACTATTCATCATTATTTATAAAGTAAGTTTCCAGAACACTTAATTGTGTTGTAGACAGCTAATATACCTGAGGGCCTAAATGAATGTTTGAAATAGCTGCTTCATCCTGTTCTGCCACTCTGGTTAACTATTGAAGTTTAGGTTGACTAATGAAGTGTATCAAAGTAATTTAAATAACACTTAGCAATGAGCTGCTATATTAAATGTAGATACCTGTGATAATTGCTGAATCTTGTAGTGTAAGAATTATACTGCTGCTTAGTAGAATCCCTCTGTGTTTCTGTAGGTGGACTGTAGGTTTCACTACTTAAGGAGGCTTGCTTTGTGTGCACTAAACATGTAAAAAGTCTTACTGGTACCTCTCATACCAGTAAGAAGGTTGATTATATATTCTAGTGGCCTTGAAAACTGTGCCACCAAAGTTTTTTCCCTGCCAGAAAGAGGAAAAATTATGCCAGTCAAAAAGTAGTAGTTCACAAGATTGCTCAAGCACTAAATGTGACAGGCACAAGAAAAGTAAGAGTGTCATGGCTTAAACTCAGAGAGCAACTAAGCACCACACCATTGGTTGCTTACTCCCCCCCACCTCAGAAGGATGGAGGCAGGCAGATATAGGGAGGGTAAAAGTGAGAAAACTCAAGGATTGAGATAAGAATAGTTTAATAATTGAAATAAAATATAATTACAATTATAAATTGTAAATAAAAGGAAAATTAAAGAAACAACACACACACACATACCAAAAAAAAACAACCCACAACAACAAAAGAACAACCAAACAAAGAAAACACCAAAGAGATAGAAATAAAATTCAAAGAAAGATGATTGATGCAAATAAAAACAATTGCTCACCTCTGACCAATGTCGCTCCACACTATTCACTTTCCCTCAACTGTATGTGCTGAGCATGATGCCATATGAGATGGAATATCCCTTTGGTCAGTTTTGGGCAGCTGTCCTGGTTTGTGGGTGTCCCCCCAGCCTCCTTGCTGGTGCATTGGGGTGAGGAGCAGGAAAGGCCTTGTACTGTGTAAGTGCTGCTCAGCAACAGCTAAAACATCTTTGTGCTATCAACACTGTTTCCAGTGCAAATCCAAAACATAGCTCTATGATACATACTGTGGGGAAAATTAACTCTAGCCCAGGCAAAATGAGCACATAGAAGAAACAAATGAGCCATTCTGGTTTACAGATGAAAAGGCAGAACCCTACTTTTGCCACAAGATACACAGGGTGTGCAAGTTGAACAATCCTCCATGCTACAGTGGTGCATATACCAGGGCTAGTGCTCACTTCTGTTGCCCTGATCTTCCAAACCTGGAGGTGAAAGTCCTGCTCCATGTGGGCCAGGTCATGGGAGCTGTGAAAGCAATGCTTTTCACACTGCTCCATCTATCTCCATTGCTTTATTGAGGGTAAATTAAATACAGGTCCTTCATGGTTCCCATCTCCTTTCTCCTCTCTCCCCAGCAGGCTTTTGTGTGTTCATAATTACTATATGTTCATAATTTTTTCTACTAATTTGTATCTCCTTTCTCTGCTGCACACAGCCATGCCTACACAGCTCTCCAAACCAGGACATTATCCTGGCCTGTCTGTACACCAAGCTCCTCAATCCTTTATATATTCAACGTAATTCATCAAGCTCGTCTTAAAAGTCATAGTTCTGTTTGCTTCTGAAGTATCACCAAACCTCCCTGGGCAGTCCTTAGGCGTGTCCTCCCCTTTCTTCTCTATTTCCGTTTGGTTACGTGCTTAAGTGCATACCGAGGTTTGCTAATTCAAATAGTGTTTTGAGCAGAAGAACATGAAAACTTTGATCTGAAAGACATTTGACTGTGTTAGAGCAGAAATGTACCACAGAGTAAGGAAAATGGGAGGGAGATTTAATTAGCTGTTTTATAACCTGGTATTAACATAAACATGCAGTTTCTGTAATCACACTGTCTGCTTGTTAACTTGCTCAGACCCAGTACAATATTTTTTCTATGAACTGTCAGCAATTGCTTTTCACACTTGCAGCATTTATTCATTAAAGTCAGTCAAAAACATTGTCTTGAACACTTGGCATTTAAATATTTTTTTTCATTTTGTAATTGATATGTATTCATTTTCCTCAGTCACCTGCAGCTTCTTAAAATCTTGCAGTCATGTACAAAAGTGATTATATAAATTAAGGTTTGGTTTATCTGAGAGAGTTAAATAAAAGTATAGCTGAGGTATTATGGAAATCTGTAAATTACCATCACTGCTACTAGTACTAATTGCTATATTAAAGTATTTCTCAGTTTTATAGTAATTTTTGCAATGTAAACCAATGCTCAGCTTGTTGTTTATGCTCATTTGTAGATGATCTTTCTTTACCCAAATTAATATTGCTGCCTTTCACATCAGGATTTGTTAAATGCAAATCCAATTTGTTAAATTCAAATCCAGTTTCACTAGCCCAAACTGAATTAATTTCTCTTAAAATGTTCTCATTGCCTTGTCTCTTGTCACTATGTCCAAGACAGAAGATTCCATGGTACCGACCCGCAAGCTTTACTTCATGCAGAATTGAGAATTCTACCACTTTCTAAGATGATTCTGCATTGAGCTTTCAGCAGCATCCCATGCCATCCCATTGTTGTGGGTGTCTCACGCTGGTGTTAACCCAGAAAACTGACCATAGCTGACAAACATTAGACCTTGCTTCTTTTGCATGATCATATCATCCACTCCTCTTCCTTTCTGCTATCCAGAAAAGCTAAAGCTTTAACCCCTTCAGTTCTATGCCACTGAATTCTATTAGCAGAGGTACATTAAAAATATGAACACTTTCATGAAGGGTGAAAGCCTTAACCTAATATTACCAGAAAAGCAAAAATGTATTTTATTGCATAAACAGATTATAAATATTATAAATTGTATTATAAATTATTACAAATTGTTATGGGATAATTAGCCAAGAAATAAAGCGGCTAAGTAGCATTGCTTTACAGTGCCTTGACAGAGACATCTGGCTTTGTTAAAAGCTATTGTCAAAAATGTCTTGAGGAAAGTAAGAGTTCTCCCAAATCTTATAAAATCTGAGCTCATGCTACACAAAACAGAAATTTCCTTGATTAGACTCTGCAGACATTTGCCAGTAATTAGATGTTCTGTATTATTCCAAATCCACCAAAGGTTATTCCAGACAGAGCTGTCACCTATTCAAGAAGAAAAGGTAGTACAAGAGATGACAAAATCAGGGACTCAGCCCTGTTTACCACTCTGCCACATGTGTCTGGCTGCAGTTTTTGAACCACAGTGTTTACAGTTTTTGAACCTCTCATGGCTGTTAAAGACATTGCAGTCAGGTACAGAGATGTCCTTGGCAACTGGGTGATAGAACTCTAAATGATTAAAATTTACTTTGTGTCACCTCTCCTCAAGTGGCAAGAAAGCAAGCTCTGGTGCCAAATTGGATTGCTTCTTTGCTCTCCATGAATGAAAATCCTCTTATGTCTTGGTAGATTCTTAAAAATAAAATGCAGGATAATGAAAGGAGTTTGTAGGTAAAGTCTTTCACTACATCTGCTCTAGTTACTTCTTTCCCTTTTTTTCTGCTTTATCTATTTCCCTTTCTGTCTTACTTAGACTGTCATCCTCCCCACCTTTCTTTGTAGCCTGTTTGAAAAAATAAGGTGTTTTTGTATGAACTTCAATGTAAAAATCTTTGAACTGTTAAAGATTAACCAGTAAAATATCTGTGAAAAAGCACACACTTCCCTGACGTTTGACTCCATCCTGCCACATTGAGAAACTCCACTATTGTAATGCTTCAAAAGCTTGTTCACACTTACCAGATTGACACAAGGCACAAAAGCAGGCTAATGTCCTGCCACATAATGTCAGGAGCCGCAAATGCCCCTAACGGGGGAGGGGCATGAACGGGTGTAGGACCTGTCTTTCAGTGGCACAATTTATTGGTGATTCTGATTGCAATGAAGTTTTCGAGAGTCTTCTGAGAGTGGCTTGTGCACTTTGAGAGTGGAACAGAGGAGGGTTGCATGCGTGACTATGCACAGAGATAAAGGGATGAATACAGCAAACCAGGCCCAGGTAAGGGACATAAAAAGGGCGTTTTAGTAGTTGGTACTTGGTTAACCCTGCTGGATGTCAGGCTCCCACCAAAGCTGCTCCATCACTACCCTCCATAACTGGACAGGGGAGAGAAAATTAAAGTCTCATTGGGAGATAAGGATGGGGAAGGGATCACTCATGGATGACAAAATAGACTGAACTTGGGGAAATTAATTGAATGTGTTACTAAAAACATCAGAGCTGCATAATGAGAAAATTAAAACCACCTTCCCCTACTTCTCCCTTCTTCCCATTTCTGTCTCCTTCCCCATAACAGTGCAGGGAGACAGGGAATGGGTGTTATGGTCAGTTTATCACACACTGTTCCTTGCTTAATGTTCATTGCTCAGGGAAAGTTCTTCCCCTGCTCCACAATGGGGTGTCTGCCATGGGAGACAGTTCTCCATCACTAGTTCTTCACGCAGGCTACAATTCTTCACAAACTGCTCCAGTGTGGGTCCCTTTCCATAGGGAAAACTCCCTATGGAAGTCAAGTCCTTCAAGGAGAGCCTGCTGCAGTGTGGGTCCCCCCACAGGGTCACAAGTCCTACCAGGAAACCTGCTCCAGCATGGGTTCCTTTCTCCATGGGTGGGCAGGTCCTTGCCAGTACCTGCTCCAGCACAGGCCTCCCACACGGTCACAGCCTCATCTCAGACATCCTCCTGCTCCAGTGTGGGTTTCCTTCATGGACTGCAGGTGGATCTCTGCATCCCCAGGGACCTCCATGGGCTGCAGGTGGATCTCTGCATCCCCTGGGACGTCCAGGGGCTGCAGGGCCACAGCTGCCTCACCATGGTCTGCACCAGGGGCTGCAGGGGAACCTCAGTTCTGGTCTCTCTGTAAAACAATAGTTGTCAGGAAGGGAAAAGATTAAAGAGAAAGCTTCAGAATATTCTTTAGAAATACTTGAGAAGCCATGTCAGAATCAGAGAAATGATGAGTAGCATGAGTTATTAGTTTTCTGCTATCCAGTTTAAGAGAAATTTTTAACTTCTAGAATTACTGATTTTTTTTTTTCTATGCTCTGTCTAGAAATCATAGTTTTTGAATTTGTGGGTGTCACATGCACAGAAAACAATACCTCAGGTGCAGAACTCATCTGTGAATGTAAGACTTGCAAACTTCCCTGAAGATTTAGGCCCCAAAATGTCTCCGTATGAAAAAAAATCAGACTATGCATTATTCTGTAACAGTCCACAGACTGATGCAGAGGTAACAATCAAGGAGGTGCAGCTTTTTTTGGAAATGCTGGGATTTTAAAATAAGATTCAATTGCAAACAGTTGCATTAATCTCAGCAAATCTCTGTTTGAAGTGTTCTTATAGCCCATTGCTTTGCATGTGGTTACTCTAGAGTGAGTGTAAAGGCATGTCAGATTGGGGGGACGTATGAAAATAAGCATCCTTAAAAGGACTTCTCCACAAGAAATTATTTGCTGTGAGGCTGCTGAGGCACTGGAACAGGTTGCCCAGAGAAGCTGTGAATGCCCCATCCCTGGTAGTGTCAAGGATATATTGGATGAAGGTCTGAGCCTGGCCT